AGGACTACAGTGCGTGAGGTTTCCGGTGATGGTAGATCTTCACTGTCAACGTGACTTTATTTAGAATCACCATGGAAACACACCTCTGAGTGTGTCTATGATTTCCAGAAAGGCTTAACTGAGGAGGGAGGACATACCATGAGTGTGGGCAGCACCATTTCACGGCCTAGGATTTGGGACTAAATATAAAGGCAAGCTGAGCAGCAGCTTTCGTCTGTCTCCCATCTGCAGGTGCAATGTGATTAGCTGCACATGCTCCCACCTTCATGCCTCCCCGCCATGATGGACCGCACCCTCGGATGGAGCCCGAATAAACGCTTCCATAAATTGCTTTCTCAGATAGTCTGTCCTTGCGACCTTGAAAAGTAACTAACGCAATTCCCTGGTGTGTGTTTGATCCTTTTTAGAGCCTTTTCACGCTATCCAAAGGGCTGCTTCCTGAAGTGTTTCCGGAATTAAACATCTTCAGTTGATTGTGTTGCCTAATGATCAGCCTCCTCCCCAAGACCGGGATGACTGGGCTCTCAGCAGACCTTCTCTGTCTGGGGACGTATTTCCTCTTCTCTTCTCTGGTTGGAAATTCATAGTGAACTTAGATCTCTCATGACTAGTTAACTTTAAAAAAATAAATAAACAGCTTCTCTTCTGCTTAAAGGAGTAGGGGAAGGAAACTGGAAATGGAGAAGAAAGGACAGATTCTGAAGTGTTACCAAAGTAACTTCTGGGACATGGTTAGGACACCTGTCCTTTATGTCAGCAACCACTCACATTCTTTCTCAGGGACTACGTGTGGAGCACCTACTTCATGCAATAGATAAGCCCCTGGGAATTTAGCAGTGAGCAAAACAGACAGAAACACATCAGCCCCGGGGAACTGACACTCCATTTTTTTTTTAAAGTAATTAAATACATAACATGTCACACAGAACCTGGGTCTATGAGGCACGCCTGTATTCCTATTCCTATTCCTTGGGAAGCTAAGGTAAAAGGACCACATTTCAAGGCCTGCATGAGCAACTTATTGAGAACTGTCTCAAAACCTGGATAAATAAAAAAGGTCGAAGGGAATGAGCATGTATGTTGCAACCCCCAGTACTGCCCCCACTATCAAGAAAAAACAAAAGAAACATACTAGATAGAACTCAATGCAATGAAGGGAAAGTAAAATGGGGATAAAAGGATCTAAAATGTGATAACGGGTTGAACTATTAGCTTCTCTAGGAAAGGAGCTATGGATCTGCATCAGAAGACTTGGGAGAGAACACCAAATCACACCATCACTTTCTCAAAAGCCCCTGAGCTCTAGATCTTAACTGTCCAGTTTCCCAGTGAGCTGGAAGTTCCTGAAGAAGCAATGCCTGCAGTGAAGGTTCTGTAGCCTGCTTAGCTTCGGCTGAATGAGCAGAGCGTAGTGATTGCCGAGAGCTGGGATGTTACAGGTTCAGAGCCCAGACTGTCTTGGACTCTGGCCCTTTTTCATTGCCATGTATCATCAACCTCTTTATCTGATCTAACATCTTCTTCACTTTTAGATAATACTCTTGGACGTAGGGTTAAGCTGGACTCACCTAGTCTCAACCCTAAATGAGAAAGTCAACCCGGAAATTCTATAGATTTCCCTGACTTGCTGCAGCCCTCCTACCAGGAGCTATGCTTGTTCAGTTTATAGACATGTCAACTCATAACTCCCTTTCCTGAGACTTATGTGCATGTAAACTTTCCCATAATACAACAAATCATTTAGAATAACTCAAATTCCTGTTCACTCATATTTGACTCAGAACAAACTTTTTCAAAGCTGTGTTGGTATTGTTATATCAATACTTTTCATAGCTCTGCTTATTATTTATTGTGGGGATTTGAGCAAATCACCTAAGTTTTCTGTTTTGAATGTTACTATCTTTAAGTGAAGATGACTATACTTAACTTGTAGATGGTCGATGAATCAATACAAAGAACTCAATAGGTACTAGGTTTTAAAGATTCTCTTGAAAAAAAAAATCCTTTCTGCTCTTTGACTTCAATACTGAAATGAAACTAATGATACCTCACTGGCTTGTGGTGAGGACTAGATGAAACCCAACATAAGAGCTCCTCATGGAAGGAACGAATGTGTGGTTCTGTTCTATTGTCATAATAATAAATGCTCTGTTGTCATAGCGACTAGGTACTGCTGCTACTTTCTTAACAATTACAACTATGAAGGTTCAGACTTAACTTTACAGGCTCCATCTTAGGGAAAGGGCCACCATCTCAGGCCATCTGCTGTACTCAGTTCCAGGAAGAATCTCAGGAATGTGCCGTGACAACTTGAACAGATACAGGGCAGTAAAGTTTAACAAGATCCAGATAATCCTGTTCAGCGGGTTGTGGTTCCCCGCCAAAAGTCTAACTACTGTGGGATGGTCTGTATGTCAAATGTGTTGCTGATTGGTCAATAAATAAATCACTGATTGGCCATTGGCTAGGCAGGAAGTATAGGTGGGACAAGGAGGAGAATAGAGCTGGGAAGTGGAAGGCTGAGAGGAGACACTGCCAGCCGCCATCAGGACAAGGAAGATGTAAAGTACCGGTAAGCCACAAGCCACGTGGCAAGGTATAGATTAATAGAAATGGATTAATTTAAGCTGTAAGAACAGTTAGCAAGAAGCCTGCCACGGCCATACAGTTTGTAACCAATATAAGTCTCTGTGTTTACTTGATCGGGTTTGAGCGGCTTGGGACTGGCGGGTGAGAGAGATTTGCCCTGACTGTGGGCCAGGCAGGAAAACTCCAGCTACATCTAACCCAGTGGTTTCAAATGTGGTTTCATGCCCAAAGTCTAGACCAATAGTTTGAAAAAAATCACCTTGCGCCATATCCCTTCTACCTAATCCCAAGTTGCCAATTCCCACCTTGTAGTTTTTTTCCCTATAAAAACTCTCTACACCTGGGCTCATGGACCCTACCATATTTCCTTCCATCTGCCATGTGGTGGCCCAGGTTGAACCTGACAATAAAAGGACCCTTATGTGCTTGCATTGGAAACCGGCTCCTTGGTGGTTTCTGGGGGTTTCTCGAAATGGGTACAACACAACAGCATCCTCATTGGGAAAATAGCCATTGGGACAAGATGGTATGACCTTGAAGTCATGAGTAGGTATCCAATCTTAGTATAAAAGAAAGGAGAGATAAATAAGACCCTCTGAACTTGGGGCTTGGGATGTAGCTCAGTTGGTAGAGTGCTACTCTATCATCCACAAAGGCATAGGTTCAATGCCTCGTGCTGCATAAACCAGGAGATGGAGGTAAGAGGATCAGAAATTCAAGGTCGCCTTCAGCTCCATAGCAAGTGTAGGGCTAGCTTGGGCTTCATGAGACCCTATCTGAAAAGAAGGAAGAAGTGGAGGGGGGAAAGGCAGTAAAGGGGGGAATAATGAGAAGAACAAAGAAAAGGAAAAAAGAGGGAAGGGGAAGAGGAGGAGACCTGAGCAGCAAGGAGCATAGTGGCATTGAGAAGAAAGGGAAGTGGAGGGAAAGTGTGGGAGGAGTTGCTACAAATGGGGATTTCACAGGGTGAGAGAACTGTGGGTAGTCTCTAAGGATGAGCCAGGGGAGAAGAAACATCTTGAAAAGAAGGATCCATGAAATTAAATTTGAAACTATTTGTTTAGTTGCAACATGAATGCCTGTCTGTCATGTCTCCAAATCTTTAGTAGACAATTACACTCCTAAGAGTTTTACGATTCCTTTGTACAAATTTGAGGAAGAGTCTGATGAGCCACAAGTGACAATGAAAATATAAGTTCTAAGAGAATTTGGAGAAATTTTACAGGGAATCGACAGGGTTGGAAGGGAGAGAGGAGGGAAAGAGAGAGGAAGACACAGGGTAGGTGGGGGGAGAAGAGAGAGAGAGAGAGAGAGAGAGTTTGGACAGGGGGAAGGGGTTGTGTTCATAGTGGAACCTAAAGCTCATACAATGGGGAGGCCTGTGTAAGCAGTCTGGTTGAGTCCATTATTGTACAGTCAAATCAAAGCAGGGCCAAGGTGGACACATCAGTCAGAAAGACAATCAATGAGCCGCTCTTAACAACTTGTGGATATGATGCCACAAACCTCCATCTAACTCAGAATATGAATTTATTCGCCTTCACCTTCATCCCTATCCCAGTAACAGTGAGGATCAAAACAGCCCTCATTGCCAGACGTGGCTAGAACCCTCCTCGCACCAGGTTGTAAGCCTTCTTTTGGTTCCAAGAATGGGAAGTGAACCCTAAGCTAAACAATTTTAGGAAGAAACAACTGTGCAATCTATTAAAGGTGTCAGTTGTCAGGACCCTCTGAAGTTCTCTCTTTTCCATTCTTTAAGAGACTTAACTGTTCTGACAAGATGGCTCACTGGGTAAAGGCATTTGCTGCTGGCCCTGACAGCCTGAGCTGCATCCTTAGGATCCACAGGGTGGAGGCAGAGAACTGGCTCTCACAGGTTGTCCTCTATCTCCACATTTCCATGAGGTAATGAAGCTCACACAGTCTCACTGCCTGCCTATCTTTGCTCAAGTACAACCATGGGCTGAAACCTCAGAAACCATGAGCGAAACAATCCACCTTTTGATAACTATGGAAATGAAAGTCTGACCACCCATAAACTTCCTTCTAAGTTGTCTGTGTCAGTTATAAAATAAGTAACACACAAAAAACATAAAAGTAAGTAGAACATAAAGTATACAAAGAGAGGAAATATGTAAACAGAGCCATTTAAAGTGACTAATGTGCAGCATACAATATGGAAAAGCAAGAAAACAACTGAAGTGGGCAGGCTGGGAGCCTCAGGAAATAAAATCAGAAGGATAGTTTGGAACCAGATTGTGGTAGACCTTGAACATCTCCATAAGGAATCTGAAAAGAGTTTGAGGACAACCTGAGACACATTGATGAGCTAGTTTGTAAAGGTTGAAGGAAAGCAAGTTTCCACTACTGTATATTTATTTTCAACCCTAAGTATCAAATAAAGCACGATATAAAGGTTTATCAGTCTTTTATTATTAAATTATTAAATTTTTTATTTATTTTACAAAGCAACCACAGTTTACTCTCACTCCTCTTATCCCATTCCCTCCCCCCACCTCTTTTCTACCCCCTCACCATTCATTTTTAATCAAAGGTTATATATTAGTTCTAGTCATTGGGTCCCTGGTTAACTCTTTTCTTGAAGATGGAAACCTGGGATGGGATAGAGGCATGGGAAGAGGTTGCAAAGACAAGTGTCTTGTCGGCAACTAGATCCAATGCTTAGCTTCACTTATTCAGGACCCTGGATCATATGTCCTGTCGTCATCAACTACTGTTTCCTGTAGATTTTGATTGCAGGAGTGATCCCTAGTCCACTTGGAGCTTCTAGTCTAAGCAAAGAAAAAAAATAAAAAATAAAAGAACAGACAAAACAGCACCTCGTTTTCTGATAGAAAAAAAATCCATTACAAAGATAGTTGTCCCTGAATTATCTCAATGGGAATCACATCCAATCTCTTCATTTCAATGACTGGGAGAATGAATAAACTTAGGCTAGACAACTCATGAAATTACCCATCCATGCATCATCCATCAGTCACCTGATAATGTTACCAGCTACAGTGACTGTATAATAGTCATATAAAACTTCAGCCTCACGGGAGAGAAGAAATCATGTTGTCACATTAGCAATGTTTCCTACTAAAGATGTCTCAGCCTGAGATTGTGAAAGAACAGGGAAAGGTTTAAATTGTTTCTGGAAATATCTATTTCTATATGTACAAATATGTACAAGTATCTTAAGTATATTCTTTTATTAAAATACTTTCCCTGATCAACTGGATGTTTAGATCTGGGTGACTGAAATTGAAAGACAAAGGAAGTTTGTCATATAACACAAGCTATTGCCAGGCAGTGGTGGCGCACGCCTTTAATCCCAGCACTCAGGAGGCAGAGCCAGGCGGATCTCTATGAGTTCGAGGCCAGCCTGGTCTACAGAGCGAGATCCAGGACAGACACCAAAACTACACAGAGAAACCCTGTCTCGAAAAACAAAACAAAACAAAACAAAACTCTCAGAAATAACACAAGCTATGTCTATCATGGAATGACTTTAAGCAAAAATTCTGAATTGGTGGTAGGACAAGCAAGTACTGGCCTTGCCATCTTGCAAAGAGGTCACTGCCCATTCCAAAGCTCATGGGAAAATACCCAGTTATCCTGGTTGTTCTTTTTTTTTTTTCAGAAATTGTAACTGATGGTTCAGAAATTGTAACTGAGCCCACTTGGCTCCAGTCTGTTACAATATAAGTGGTAATAGTGCTACTACTAGTGACGGGGATAAGGGTGACAATGATGATAGTGATGGTGCTGATGATGGTGACAGTGATGGTGATGACAGAGGTGATGACAGGGATGGTGCTGATGACGGTCACCGTGATGATGGCAGTGGTGAGGACAGTGATATGGTGCTGATGATGGTGACCATGATGATGGTGGTGGTGAGGACAGTGATATGGTGCTGATGACGGTGACCGTGATGATGGCGGTGGTGAGGACAGTGATATGGTGCTGATGACGGTGACCATGATGATGGTGGTGGTGAGGACAGTGATATGGTGCTGATGACGGTGACCATGATGATGGCGGTGGTGAGGACAGTGATATGGTGCTGATGACGGTCACCGTGATGATGGTGGTGGTGAGGACAGTGATATGGTGCTGATGACGGTGATAACTTACGATGTTGATGACACTTTATATATGCCAATGTCATCTTCGATGGATATAAAAAGCCAAAGAACCCAAGTATTAGTGGAATGGGGGGCACTCCAGGAGAGGGAGGAAAGGTACACAAACAGAGTTACGGAGTTGTGCCAGTCAGAGGTCAGCGGCTTGGTCCTCGTATCTCCTAACCACCCTTCTCTCCCCAGGAACAAGTTAACCCACTCCACTTGCCTTTTACGTTTTGATTTAATCTTTATCACTTCTCTGGTGTGGGAATGATACTCTGTCAGTGAATTCTTCTTATCACATCCACAGAATTTACATTGCCTGGGTGCTGAGAACAAATGAAAACAAGTCTCCCCCTAGCAAATATGCTGGCATCACTTTAAACAGGCTCCTTTGAATTTTTCTTTTCTATTTTTGTTGTTTGGGTTTTTGTTTTGTTTTGTTTTGTTTGTTTTGTTGGTGGCAGCAAATGCTGGGCCTGTCTCCAGCCTCCCCGAGCTCCCTGCAATCAATGCACACCCATCCCCAGAGGCCCCAGAGCCTCTGAGAAGCAAGTAGCAAATGGAAGAAAAATGGAAGAAATGATCCACAGCCCCAGAGCTTTGTTTCCAGAAGCATCTGGTGACCACTTCCAGATCTCTGAGGCTAGAAATGACAGGAAGCAGTAAAAGGCAGCTATGTGGCCCAGGGGGAAAAAAACCAAAAACAAAAAAAAGTACAGACCTGAATGTCTTGCCATTATTAAATTTCCCACTGGACCAGCAGCGTCTTCAAAGTTTGCCAGGTTTTGCCTAACCTCATCCACACTTAAAGTCTCTGGAAAACCAGGAAGGCCTCTTGCGGGGAGATTCATTCATGTTTGGACTCAGGCAAACTTAGGAACCTGTGACTGCACTATCATTACCCTGCCCAGGCACACCACAGAGCAGTCAGCAAGCTCTCCCTCAATGGGCACAAAATTTCCCCTGGAATTTACAGAGCAGAAACCTTAAACACATATCACCATAAGAACCAGATTACATAATGTCTCCATCACCCTCCTGACAGCTACAATTATGAATCAATCCTGGTTTAAATATGAAACCGGAAGCTCCGCGTTTCCCCTCTGACTATGTGGCAGCCTAAGTTAGAGCTCTCCAGGCCGTCAGTTCGGAGATCTGAGCTGCTTCCACAGTCGCTAATCTAGCAAGAGACCAAACGACTGGGTAATTAAAAGCAGTACTGCAGAGAGCCCTGCTCCGGGCCAGATGTTGCAGAGCCCTGCTCCGGGCCAGATGTTCTCTTTGCTTAGCCATTACCCGCATAAGGAACAGAAATAGCCGGTCCCCCGCTCCCCCCCCCCCCCCCCACCTCCATCCCTTTAAATTCTCCTTTTCTTTATCCTTTCCAGCTAATTTCCGGCTTCTGATCTTTCAATCCCACAAAATAAAGTAAAAATAAAAGCCCCATTACTAAAAGATGGCATGTTATTGAACACATGACTGTAAGTTGTAATGTGCTCTGTAGTCTCCTCTTTGTACTTCGTAAAGCATTCCAGCGCTGGAGACATTAAGTTACCCTGGCAACCTCACATGACTAAGGGCTCCAGAGAGCCCCACCTAGCTGCAGGGACTCATTTAAGTCAACAAGGACCACCCCTACACTTAGTAGCCCAGAGACTGAGTAAATAGCACTGCTGGCGGGGGAGTGGGGGCTATTTTAGGGACCAAAGACTGTGGAAGGAGGCAGCCCCTCCCTTTTTTTAACCCCAAACACAAGACAAATAAAACTCTCAATCCTACCCTCTAGAGACACCTCATTAAGGTCATGGGTCAGCTGGTACATAAAGGAGAGGTCTTCTGGGCATTTTTCTAGCTAATGGTCAAATTACAAGGCTCTAAAAAAAAAAAAAGCCAATAATTCATACCTGCAAAAAAAAAATGGCAAAGCAATATGTGATAGAGCATTGTGATCTTATCAGATTGGGAAATGCAGTTTGCATCTGTCTCCTTGTATTCAGAGTCTGGTCCCTACACTGCAGCTGTAGAACCCACACCTGGCTTTAGAACCAAAAAGGCCTGAAGTTTTTCCTATTTCAGGGATGAGGAGACTGAAGAAATAAGCCTAATTCTGATTAGTGGCCATAAATAAATTGCCTCACCTTTTTAGAGTAGTTTATCTCTTTTGAGACAGGGTTTCCATGTGTCCTTGAGCTGGCCTCAAACTTATTATGTAGCTAAGGATAAACTTTGAACACTCAACCCACTTCCCAAGTGCTAAGAGTACTGGTGTGTACCACCCACCACACCTGGCAAGAACATTCTCCTCTTGCCTGTAGCGATATCCTTTGGATCATTAATTGCTAAAACCACTGCCTGCTCATGACCAAGCTGAAAGGCAGGAAAAGCTGCTATAAACAACATGGAAGATGATTATTAGATGATTTCAAGAAAACTCACCAGGTCTGCTGTGCGAGGGGCACTGTTCTCATGCTAGTGTGTGGCCTGCATTCTAGCCCAGAGCCGTCTCATCTGCGGGGCTTTACGCTGTGCTGTTTGTGTCTACATGGTTAAACAGAATGAAACAGTGGGGAAAGAATCTCAGCTGTCAGGCATGCTGTCCATATGAAGGCAAAATGGCGACCAGATGACAGTCAAATGAAACCCCAGGATGAGAGAGGAAGTTATTATGCACAGCAGTGTGCTGGTGGGCAGACTATACCCTGGGGAATAAGGAAACACCAGGGCACCATTTTCAAAGTGGACTTTCTGATACCCATTGCTTGATGTGTGTGTGTGTGTGTGTGTGTGTGTATGTGTGTGTGTGTGTGTGTGTGTGTGACAGAGACAGAGAGAATAGGAGAAGAGCCTGCATTTGCTTCCCATGCCATCATTGATGGCATCATGGTAGATGCCCAGATTGTGTGTGTGTGTGTGTGTGTGTGTGTGTGTGTGTGTGTGTGTGTGTGTGTAGAAAAAACTCCACACATTCCAAGCCTCATCGAAAAAAGTAACCAAATAGAAGTACAAGCCAAGCCCAAAGTAACAATCACCATGGAGACACACTGGAGAAGCATATAAGACGCAATGATGCTTCCCATGCACAGCCACTACTCTGACCATCCTGTTTCCATGGCATGCTTAAAGAACGAATGATGGGCTGGGCACACTCCTTACTGACGTAAAACATGATTCACATTAGCCAGAACTAACCATCCTCGAAGTTGGAAAGAATGACTCCTCCACCTGAGTGCTCCACTGTCATCTGGGGCATTTCAGGAAACACTTGAGGCATGTCTGTGCTCTCAAAAATATTTCCTAACCTCCCCTTCAAACTTCTCAACATCTCCCTAACCCAGGATCCTCGGGACTAAAGGTCCACCTTGTGTTTCCTATTTCTTGTTTGGAGTTATAAGGGTCAAACAAACAAAAACAAAAACAAAAACAAAACCAGGGGTTCTGGCTGCATTTGTGGAGTCATCGACTGTATTTGCTAAGTGCTGACAGGCATTGTTAAGGATCTGCTCCCAACACAGAACCTTACCCCAACTCCCCCTGCCAAAACAACAACAAACTACTGGATCGTGACAGTCAAGGCAGCACATGCCCGTAAGTCCAGCACTTGAGAGGTAGAGGCAGTCGGATCTGGAACACAACATCATCTTTGACTACAGAGGGAATTCAAGACCCTGTCTCAAAAACATACAACAAAGAGACAACAAAGGGATCATGTTCTCCAGGAAGTACCTGCTGGAGAAGAGGCACACTTTAACAATCAGTCTCAAGGGAAAAGGGTATAAAGTCAACCAAACAGAGAACTCAGTGAAACCTTTTCACATGGATGTTACTGGGGCTCCAATCCACACACTTGCCACATGTGCCCACCTCCAATTTAGAAAGAATTTCACAAGCACGCCCGCTTTTATGGCGTCAGTTCTCCGGCCTTAGGATTTTTCACTGGAACAGACAAAAACCGCTGTACCCAGGGCAGCTTTGTGAGTTCTCCACAGTCACCCACTTGTCTCCAGGGAGGAAGGAAGGAACTCAAGAGTCTCAAAATAGCCGCCCGGTTCTAGTCCTTCAACATGTGCAGGTTACATCACTCACAGGGCTGGCTGTGACATCACTTCTAGACCTGAACACAGCCCACCCCGCCGCTGAGAAAATGGAAAATGCTGAGCCGCAGCCTCAGGACTTCCTTGCCCAGAGGCGATTTCTTGTCCCGCCCAAACCTGACAGCAAGGGCAGGTGGGTGGAGAGCCCAGCAAAGAGGCCTTTGAAAGCAGGAACCCTGGCTCTGCAGGTCAGCTTGGATCAGGTCCAAACTGGGTTCCACCCCGCCACACACACCCCCACCCCCTGGTGACAAACAATCTGTTTATGGGGACGCTTTTGTGAGGTTACAGAATCTCTGCATGAGAGGGAGCTGGTTCTGGCCCGGTCTCTAGGTAACCCGCCACACCAAGGTGCACAAACACGGTAGGACAGAGAAGGAGGGTAAAAGAGAAGCTGGCCGACCCGGGCCCCCTCCCAGGCCGCCGTGAAACACGCTTTAATTGCTTCAAAGAGCCCTTCTCAATGGGGTTTCAGAGGCGCGGGAGCGGGTCCCCGGCGAGGGCTCCTTTCCGGCTGGCCAGCATTCCTGGGCGCTGCGAGGGGAGAGCCCGCGGCTCATTTCCATGCCTGTCGCATACTGCCTCCGTTGTGCCTGGCCGGGCCGCGAGGGGAGCGCGGCTGGCAGCGAACAAAGCCCCATTCATCCCCGGGGACGGCTTCCTCCCGGACCAGCCGTGGCCGCAGATGGGCTGGCTAGGGCACGCCATCCATCCCCAGGCTGGGGAGCAGGGCCCCGCCCGCTCACAGAGTGGTGATGCAGGGCGCCCCCGGGTTGCGGTACCCAGGCCTCCCCGGCAGGGGAGAGGCTGGGCCGGGACAGGCAGACACTGGGGCTTTTCAGCCGGGAAATCCCGTGTCCTCGCCGGCTCCTTGAGAGCGAGGATGTCAGTTTCCAACGCCCTCTTCCCTACTCCGGCCCCCTGGGATGGTACGGTCCGTCTTCCCAGTTGTGAGGAGACTTTGTTTCTCCTCTGTGGCCTCTGCAGTCCCCACGAAAGGGTCACTTCCTGACTTTTGTGTCTCTTCAATCCAGTGCCTCCAAAGTTCCTCCCCTCTGGTTGTGACTAAGTACATAATTGCGAGGCTTATCCATAAGGTTTTCCAGAATTCAAACATCCCTCTAGGTTAAAGTCTGGGGCTGGGGCTTCGCAATTAAGATCGTTTGCTGCTGTTTGTTGGCCCTCTCTGCTGCACTACCACGGAGGGGGTGGGGGGAATGCAAAGAAAACGCACTTGCTCCGCAACCGTGTTTGCAGACTCCCAGAGCTTTTCCTTTGGTCCCATGTGTTAGGCCCGACCAGAGAAAGCTACAGGACTCTTAACATTGAACAGAAGCGAGTCTGGGTCACCTTTCCTTCATTCTGAAAAAGCCCCTCCAGGCCGGGTTCCACAACCCAAGACAGAAACAGGCTCCAGACACATTCCTCCCCAGCGGATGCAACAGGGCATGGCAGGATCAAACAGCCACCAGACACTGGGGAGACTGGCCCCAATCTATCCATCTTACAGATAAGAAGCAGATAAGATCTGAGAGGGGAAAGGATTTGTTCACCTCAGCGGAAGCTGGTTCATCTCCGCAAACAGCAAAATATACCCTCAAGTAAAAACGCAACGACCATTTTCAAAAAGAAAATCACCAAGAAAAATTATTATTCACCAAGTAGATTTACTTTTCTTCTTATATTGAAAGAGGCCTCCCCTCCAGTGCGTGAGAATTGCTCCTGTGTTTCTCTTACTTCCGGCGTTTTGAACACCACTGGCCTCTCTCCAAGAAGACCTCTTTCCTCTCGACGGGAATGAAAACCTTCAAAATGTTCGCATGTAGATAGAGTGACTGCACTGGTTATTCCTGAAGATATGGGGGGCGGGGGTTTCTAATCGCTTTACACACTGCCTCCCTCATTCCTGACGGCAGGCTCTGAATTGGACTCTACAACTTTCCCCCATTTCACTAAAAAAGAAACCAAAGCTGAGAGAGACAGAGATTAACCTTTTCAAGATCACAAATACGTTAATTGGCCAAAGCTGGCTTTCTGATCTCTTCTGCGCTGCGACTTTGCTTACTCAAAGGTGCTACGCAGTCATGGGGTCAGCAACGTGGGGCATAGGGAGGCTCTAGGCATGCACCCCGCTGCAGGAGAGGGGATTCAAAAGGGGGAGGGGGGGAAGGGGAGGGGGAATGCCTCCTGCTACCTGGATAGGAGAGCAGGCTGAGAACTTGACAACTGACTGTTTCTTCCAGAGTGCAAAGTGGTGAGTTAATCACCACTCCCTGAGATGCCTTAGCATTTTATCTTCTAAGGAATGCTCTGGAAATAATAGTATCTTGGTTTTGTCAGAGAAAACTTGAGTTCAAAGTTCAGACCTGCCATTTCCAAGGTAGGAGACTTTTGAAACATTATTTAAGCTCTTTAATTCTGTCTCCTCCTCTATTAACCTATTAGTCTATTAGTAAGATCTAATAATAAGAGCATCTATTAATAAGAGCATTTATCACATTGTGTTCTTGTGAGGATCTAAATGAGCCAGTCCATGTGAAGGTTCGGCTCCGTGTTTTCTTCATTATCATGTATATCAAGTCAAACAGACTGCATTATGTTTAGTTTAAAACAAGATTTTTCTTTATAACAAAGAGTTACTGCTCACCCCTGTACATGTCCATCCCAAATTAGCTGAACACTCTACACCATGTCTCTTCGTTGGTTGATTAGTGATTGTCTCAAATCTTACCAGTCATCATAGCAGAAGGGACAAGAGAGCATTGGAAAGTAATTATAATGGTAATGAGTGATCAGTCTGGAAATACTGGATGATATCATCCCTCATAACTTCAGTCAGAACCAAATACATGCCCCCAGCCACTAACCCCAACTACTATAAAGCCAGGGCCAGGACCTGTAATTCTGCTCTGTCCCTAATCTGGGGGACATCAAAGGCTTAAGGTTAGGCCTGCAAATGCATGTAATAAGCATTAATGAGGACCATCAATTAATTCAGCTTTCTTTCCACAGGATAGAAAATACCAATCCTTTTTGAGACCTCCAATGTCACAGCTAGTCCATGACACTTCACAGAAGGGTCTGTCTTCTCAGGAGTCAGGATATGGTAAAATTTAACAATAGTTTCTGGCTACAACAGGCAGCAAAAGTTCTGTTCTCCGCATTCCACCTTCCCATAAAAAAAAAAAAAAAAAAAAGAGAGAAGCAAAGAGCACAGACTGAGTTTCCTCTTCTATACACTAAGGCTAAGGATCATAGTGGCAAGGGCAGAAAACTTGTAAATAAATGCAAAACCAAGTTCCTAATCGGGGACCTAAGACTCCTGTTTGCTTGTCATATGATCCTAGCACTTGGAAGATGGAGGAAGAATTTGGAGTTCAAGGCCAGCCAGGGCTATATAAGACCTTGTTATTTTCCACCACCCTAAATCAAAGGAATAAGAGGACTCTAAAAAAGGAGCCGTAGTGACAGTGAAGGCCACTGGCATCCTTGCTCCCCTGTGTCAGCTCTGACCAGCTGTGTCTTGCAGAAGCAATTCTTCACAATTCACTTGCCTTTGTTCTGGTGTTTTCCGAACAATTGGAACGCATCTGGAGTTCATTTGATGCATGCTTTGCTCATAACCTAACGTCCATTTCTCCCATTTTCGACTTCTGCTTATCTTCCTTCTCAAATTATCCCGCTCTGTTCTTTCATGTGTGTGCATTCCCAGAGTCTTGGTGTGACAGTTAGGGTGTTGTTCTCCAGAGGTCCACGCACTGACAGCTGCACTGGAAGGACAGCAGTGTTGAGTAGGGAGGTAGGACTTGGTGGTGGGGAAATAGGACACGGGGCATCCTCATGGAAGGGTTAAGGCTGGTCTTGAAAGCCGGGTGGGACCCCACAGACTTGAATTGCTTCTCAAGGGAGGAAACTGTTTAATGTTCATCTGCTCGATCTTCCTTTCATATGGGCATTTCTCTTCCCCCCTCTCTGTTTTGCTATGCAAGTGTCAGGGAGTGGGGATGGTGGGGATGGGAGGGCCGGGCAGAACTGGAGGCTGACATCTTCTGCTTGGACCCCCCACAGTTTTTGGAAGATGGTCATATCTGGATCAGAAGTCAATTTACCTTTTTTTACTCATTAAGTACTCAGCCTCAGGTATTTTGTTACAATTCAAAACCGACTAAGACATTCGGGTGTTTTAGACTTTTAGTAATTGTTAATAACGTACGTATTTTTTTAAAGCATAAATCCATATCGAAGCATAAAATCTCCATCTGCATATCTAATTATCTCTCAAGGCTTCTATTTCTCAGTTACAGTGCATAAATTTTGCTCCAGAAAAGCAGGTTGGTTCATGTGGTAGCTTTTACCTTCATTTGTGGGAAGACCAAATTCAGGCGGCAGCTGTTCCCCATAAACAGCCTGATTATCTGGTATTGTCAGAACTCTCTGAGCCACAGGCTTCCTGGGCAACAATAAACCAAATTCTCGAAGAGCATTTCTCCAAAGGATAACTATGACTTGAGATTTCTCCAATAAGAAAATAGAACCCAAAAGTGTCCTGATGGAAAATGACAGTGTCAGAACACTTGGGACCCAGTAAGTAAAAGGAGCAGAAACTACCAGAATCACATTTAAAAAAAAAAAAAAAATCAATTGTGAGAGACCATCTAAAGATATGGAGATTACATGAAGTTTTTTTTTTCCCATTATAATTTCAAACATTTAGAGTGTGGTTATATCAGTTTATGATCATCCATCAAAATAAATAAATAAAACAAAATCCGGTGGTATAGGCCTGGCATTCTAGCTACTTGGGAGGCTGAGACAGGAGGATCACAAGTTTAAGAACTTCCTGTGCTCCAGAGTGAGTCCAAGGCCCGCAGACTGACTCGGGGAGACTGTCTCAGAATTGAAAAGAAGGATGGGTATGTAGCTCAATGAGAGAAGGCTTGCCTAGCAAAGGGGGGCGTTAGGTTCCATCCTCAGTATAAAAAAATGGTGGGGGGTGGGTGAGTAGAAAGCACACAACTGAAGAGGATGCCTTCTGGGAAAGATGTGCAGCAGCTGCCCTTGAGGAAGGCCCTGGTCCTTGCTGCACTTTGAGCCAGCACCAGCTGCCTGCTTGGAGAGGCCACATTTGGGCTCCCCAGGGTTGGCTTTTAGCTGCTTCCTCTGCTTGCAAAGTGGGAACCACCCAGGCGGCTAAGCAAACAATGGAATAGAGTGCCTTACCTCCAGCCTGGACAGGGAGGCCCCCTGAAGGCTGAGACCTCCTGCAAAAGGGACTGAACTTGCAGGAAGGGGGGTGGGGAGACGGACTTCAGAGCAAAAGGATTTCAGAGAAAAAAAAAAAAAAAAAGAAAGAAAGAAAACCATTTAAAAGAAACAGGAAATGAGTCCCTTAAAGCCAAACCATGTGGAAAGACAGACCACATCGTTTAAATAAAACAACAATACAAGTCTATATAAATGCCGTTAGTCCCACATTCCTGAAAGTCATTGGTCCAATGAGGAGTAATCTATTTATTTAACAAACATCCCTTAAGAACCTGCATAGGCCAGGCACTGTGGTCATCTTAAAGTTTTGAATTAAATACCATCTCAGTCCTCCTGGAACATACACTCTAATGAAGGAGAGAGATAGACGTGTGAAAAAAAAATAAAATCTGGCATTGAAAAGAAAAGAAGCGGGAGGGAAGAAGCTGGAAAAATCCACTAGTTAGTAATTGAAAAAAAAAAAATCCCCAGGCTAGGAGATGACAGATAAGACAACTAATAGGAGAGATAAGGGAGACCACCAAAGAAAGGCTAGTATCTTCTGAAACTCAGCTGAGTGGGACCAGGGCTGAAGGGGAGAGGGATTCAGCACTGAGGGGATGTGTTTTCCCAGGTGAGAGGCCGGGGTGTATCTGTCAATGAGGGTAAGGAGTCGGAAAGAGCAACCCAGAGAAGATGCACGATAGTCAGGCTTGGGGGGAGGCTTGAGCACAGCTCAGCACTCTTACCGTCCCTCTTGG